GTGCTCTCCTGTAAGTCTTAACACTGACCTTCAAGCTGTTGCTGTCGTCGTCGACCTTGGGTCGCTGAGGCTGACTGTTCTATCTACCTCCCTCCTGCTGAGGAAGTATCGGATTCGACACTACAGTCAATCTTCGATCAGCTTCTATCGCCGTTCTTGCTGCTAGGTGACTTCAACTCCCATAGCCCTTCGTGGGGCTGCAGTCACACAAGCCGCCGAGGCCGACATCTTGAGCATTTGCTGAATACAAATAACCTTTGTGTTGTTAACACCGGCCGGCATACCCATGTATCTCTGCCGTCCAGCACTACTTCAGCGATAGATCTTTCTATCTGCTCCTCGTCCCTTTTCTGTCGGTTGTCTTGGTTCGTTGAGAGCACTACATATGGGAGCGACCGTTTCTCAATATGGCTTGGGATGAATGCTGGACACCCAGGCAGGAGGCCTTCCTGCTGGAACCTTCGACGTGCTAACTGGCAAAGGTTTACTGACGAGTGCCATTTAAGAATGCAGCCGACCGAGGACGACAATGAAACGTCTCTTGCACAACAAGTGACATCCACAATTGTCGACACTGCAAGGTCTTGCATTCCCTTGACATCACCTGAGCCGCGCAGGATCCCTGTTCCCTGACGGTCAGAGGACTGCAAGGCGGCAATTCTTAAGCGGAAGCGGGCGTTCAAGGGTTTTAAGCGTTCTGCAGCGACCAACAACCTCATCGCTTTTAAAAAGGCCAGAGCATTTGCGAAACGCACAATACGTGATGCAAAGCGTACATCATGGAGGGAATATGTAAATGGTTTAAATCGTCACACCCCACTGAGTGCAGTGTGGCAGCGAGTTAGTCGCATTTCCGGTAGGAGCGTCTCCACTGCAGTCCCAGTGTTGAAAGTGGCGGGAATCACGATATTGAACACACAGGAAGTTTCCGACAAAATAGGTCTCGCATTTGCAGAAAGGTGCCGACATAAAACAGGCGACCCACGCTTTATTCGTTACAAGGAACAAAGTGAGAAGACAGCAATCAATTTTAGATTTCCTGACTCAGAGATTTAGGAGTACAACCAACCATTCACTGTCATGGAGCTCTGCACTGCTCTTAAGAGAGCTAAGAGTGTGTCGCCTGGATTGGATCAAGTCCACAATGATATGCTGAACCACCTAAAGGAGTCCCTCCATGCCTTACTTGAACTTTTCAACTACATATGGTTGCAAGATGACTTCCCGGAGTCGTGGCGGGAGGCCACTATAGTCCCGATACAGAAGCCCGGAAAGGATGGTTCCGACCCACTGCACTACCGCTCAATTTCGCCGACTTAATCCCTATGCAAAGTGCTAGAGAGGATGGTGAATGATCGTCTCATGTGGTACCTTGAAACCCACGGCTGTCTTTCCAAAGTGCAATGCGGGTTTCGGAAGAACCAATGCACTGTTGACCACTTAATGATCTTAGACACAGCTATACGACATTCTTTTAAACAAAGACGTCACACGATAGCAGTCTTCTTTGACATTGAGCGGGCTTATGATACCACCTGGCGCTATGGCATTCTAAGCAAAGTACACAAGTGTGAACTCCGAGGTCACATGGCGCTCTTCATTGAAAGCTTTTTACGTCGTCGATTCTTTCGCGTCCGAGCGGGTGGCATGCTATCTGATCGCTATGAACAAGAGAACGGTGTTCCTCAAGGGAGCGTCCTTAGCGTAACCCTGTTTGCGCTGATGATCGATGATATCGCCGACTGTCTGCCACCTACCATCAGTCGGTCACTGTTTGTGGACGACTTAACCATCTGGTGTGCGGCATCCACAACGACCTCTGCTGAGAGGCAGCTTCAGTTATGCCTGATTCGACTAACTGAGTGGAGCCTTAAGAATGGCTTCAAATTTTCGACCACCAAGACTAAATGCATGCACTTCTGCTCACGGATTAGAGGCTGTAGAGACCCGGAGCTGCGACTCTTTAATGCCTCTATCCCAGTTTGTAATGACATTTGTTTCCTGGGCCTCACGTTTGACCGTCGGCTCACGTTTAAGCAACACTTTAAGATGGTTAAGACTAAGTATCTCAAGCTCATGAACCTCATGAAAGTGATGTGTCTTATGACCTTTGGAGCCGGTAGAAGCACCCTGTTGAACCTGTATAGGGCCCTAATTCGATCAGTCATCGATTACGCTAGTCCTGTCTACCATAGTGCTCCTACATCTTCAAAGCAGGTTTTGGACACAATCCACCACACATGTGTTCGTATAGCCACTGGGGCGTTTCGTACGACCCAAACAAGAAACTTGCTGGTGGAAGCGAATGAACCGCCCTTGCCTCTTAGGGGACAACGACTTACTTTGAATTACGCTATAAAGGTTTCGCAATCTCCGGATCACCCAGCCTTTAAGTTCATCTTCTCTCAGACGTTAGTGCGTTCTTTCTTGAGGGGGCGGCCCACGTCATCGCGGCCGATGTGCCTGCGCGTCCGGGACTGGCTAGACGAATCGCTTATTACGCTGTATGACATTGCCCCGCACACTCTTCGGGACCCAGCTCCGTGGAGACGTCTGAGTATTAAGTATGATTTGGAACTCTGTCAGCATCTTAAAAATGGCACTTCACCACGAGAGTTCCTCACGTATTCGTTGGAACAGATCTCAAAATACGCGAACTCGTTAAAAATATTTACCGATGGGTCCAAGGGCTGAACAGGAACGGGTTGCACATTTGCTTGCGGTGACCATACCGTAGGTCTATGCCTCCCGCAGCACCTGTCAGTTTTTTCCTCAGAACTTTTTGTTATTTTAGCAGCGCTTCAGTACGTTGCTTGTCGTCCTGAAAGGGATGTAGTCATTTTGACCGACTCACGTAGTGCACTTTCATCATTAGCCCCGACGGCGATGTCACGTGACCACTCATTTCTGACGCGCTCAATTTGGGAGGAACTGGAATGGCTGGACAACACTTCCTGCCGTATCACATTTATGTGGATCCCCAGCCACATAGGAATAATGGGAAATGAAAAAGCTGACGCCGCAGCGAAAGCTGCGGCGTGTGAGAGACACCCAATAACAATTTATGTACCCGGCCGAGATCTGAAGACAGTAATTTCTAAATACGTCCGCAATACGTGGCAACACATGTTCGACCAACATGTTCACGCTTTCAGGGAAATCAAGCCCAACTGGGTGATTAGGAATCCTCCCATCGCCGAAGCCGCTTCCAGGAAGTCGCCCTTTGTAGGCTTCGGTTGCGTCATACATATGCAACACACTCGTTTTACTTGACGCGTAGGGATGTGCCACGGTGTGATAGATGCGGGGACCGGTTGTCTGTTGAACATGTGCTCGTCTCATGCCTGGTGCCTTAAGACGGAGAGGCGATGATTCTTTCCTCCAGCGCCCCTCCATCGGTTACTCGGTCGAGACCCATGTGGTGAACTTGGAGATATACTCGCATTTTTAGCACACATTGACTTTGACGTTATTTTCACTCACCCCTCAGTGTAAGTGCGCCGGTGATGCTACCTGTTATTAGTTGACAACATGCTTATCGCGTCGTCGCTGAGGTAGATAACCGTTATCGAGTGGGCGCAAAATGGCCCCGATGCCGACGCGCCCTTGAAAACCAAATCACCACCACCAGCGTACTACGACGGCTGAGCTGTAAGAAGCAGCAGTAATGCAGGTAGAGGTTGGCACAGGGGGCACGTGCCCCCTTAGGTTCCGAGGGGCGCTTCGGGTCTTTCGGGACCCAATTCTGAGTTGTAATCCCCTGGCGGGATGGGCCTGTGAGCCCATTTCTCAAACAGGGACAAAGCCGGAGCCAGCGATTTACATCGGCCGGGGCCCCACAGCGCCTAACTTTGGTAACGCCCTTTGCTGGTAAGGGAACCCAGGTAGGCCAGATGCCTGTTCGAGGAGGCCCGAAGAGCTTGGATGACCCACCGGGTCCGATGGTCAAGGGCTCGATTGGAGGGCACGCAGGGCTGGTTGAAATCTTATTCAGGCGCCCCGGTTTACGAGAACGAACCCTCAAATGGCAGTCAGCCCTTTGCTCCTATTACGAACACCTTGATTCAAAGTGGGTATATATGTCGGTCAGGGACCACCAGTATCCCACAGACCGCTCCGCACCGGTATGGGACTCCCCAATCAGCTACAGAGCCAAGGCCAGTGATTTGCACTGGTCGGGGCCCACAACGATTTGCACTGGTCGGGGCCCACAACGAGGATTCTGTACTCGCAAGGGGTTCTGAGCCTAAGTGTAGTGTTCGATGAGGCTTAAAGAAGGACCCGGTGGGCCCCACGAAACCGACTATCGAGGGCCCGGTTGGAGGGCTTTAAGAGACCAAAGGACTCTCTCTCTCTCTCTCTTCTCTCTCTCTCTCTCTCTCTCTCTCTCTCTCTCTCTCTCTCTCTCTCTCTCTCTCTCTCTCTCTCTCTCTCTCTCTCTCTCTCTCTCTCTCTCTCTCTCTCTCTCTCTCTCTCTCTCTCTCTCTCTCCCTCTCTCTCTCTCTCTCTCTCTCCTCTCTCCCTCTCTCTCTCTCTCTCTCTCTCTCTCTCTCTCTCTCTCTCTCTCTCTCTCTCTCTCTCTCTCTCTCTCTCCTCTGTACAATGAAAGCCGCCAGGAGCTTCCAGAAGTACAAGCTTTTCTAAGAGACCAATTTTCATGGTGTCATTGTCTCCGACCTCATCCCATGCGTTTGACGGCTACGGCGATGCTTGATCTCCTTGCTCAGCCGCTCTTTCAAGCTTTGTGCCAGGCCCACTATGCTGTGAAGCTGATTGCTTAGCTCTGATATAATTTTTTCCAAGAAAGTCTTCCTCCCTGACACTAAACTGTTGCACTGAGCTCTTATCAATTGTCCTCGCTGTCCCGACTGTCGCGAAAGTCAGCGCCCAGCCCGATGTTCTGGTATGGCGGAAAGGCCCGGGCGGACTGCGAGCTCCTCCCGCGGTGGCAAGTGCGACCACGGCATGGGTTTCATGCGGTCTGATTTAACAGTCGGCACTCCTTTCGCTAATTCCGTTAGATCAGCTGTTCTATTTGCCTCAGTCGCTTCCTGGTATGGTACATCTGCCGTTGGTCGACGTGCCGACAACATCCTCCATTTGCACCACAAAATAGCTCTGGCGGGGAATACCTGATGCGTTAGCAGCATAGAAAACAGTGTGCACGCATTACACAAGCTATGAGCGATTTCACCCGCGATTTCACGCGCTAAGCTAAATAGCTTCGTTAGTGCTTTCATAAACAAGTGATACGAACATACAATGCATGTATAGAAGCAGCGATAGAGTCCCTGCTTTCCAGCTTAGCAAGGTCTTCCCCGTGACTGGTAGCCTCGCTGCCAGTCGAACGTGAGCGCTTAACTAATTAAATACAAACTGACCACCGGTCCGATCTGCGAGTGTGCAAGCCTGCAACAGATGCAGACGGATCCAGCACACCGCACAAGACGCACATTTTAGCGACGCCGCGCTTCAAAATCGCACGCTTGTTTGTCTAGCCCGCAAGCCATCGAAGGGTTAACACTCCTTGCATTGAAAGGCGCTGGTGGTCTTCAGTGGCTATCATTGGGCAGGTCAGGACGACAAAGCGATGACCTGGGACGATCCACGACGGCCGTAGACACTTGGTTCAGTTGCAAGGCAAAAGGTGGCGACACCGTCGGTAGCGCTCCAGGCGCCGGGGACACGGCAGACCCCCATTCTGTGGCCGCACCTGAGGACATCAGGCGCATCACGTGAGCTGCGCCAGGTCACAAGGTCACAGAAGATCAGGCCAACATGGCTGGCAATGTGTGGCGTACCATTGGATGGGTCATGGAACGCACCGTCGCCCCACTGCGGGACAGTCGACCGGTGATGGCCGGTCGACTGTCCCGACTGATGACATCACCGGTCATCACCGGTGATGACCGGTGAGACCATCAGATCACGCTTCCCGTCAAGTGTCATCCCGTGTGACATGACACTGCAATTATGAGCCTGCACGCAGCGTACAAGACGGAGTTTGGCACATGAAATAGCTCTGAAGGCCCACTCCAAATTGTGACGTTCATCTAATTCAGCGCAACTGCAAAGGTCCGAGGGAAAGGTGTTGACCGCCATTGATCAACGATCGTGGCCCCGTTTCACCGAAATCTTACAGTTTAAACAGCGGCCTGAGGCCTGCCTCCTCGTCATTCCATCTTAGGTACGGCGTACGCAGCTTTGAATGGCAGGTCAAATTCACAGACAAACGGCAAAATCCGCTCGCACGCAGCAACTCGTCCTAAATTGGCTTCCACTGTTCTGCATGCAAGTTTCCCACTGCTCTGCACGCACGGCCGGACGCGCCAGCGTCCGCCACGAGCGCCTTGCCTTGATCATCCTGCTCTTCTGCTGACGTCCGCGGCCGCAGGTGGCGCTGCATTCGCTCCAGGGCGACCACGGCGTGACCATGCAGTCGATTCTCTCAGCCGCTGCCGCCCGCGTGGGGGGTTCCGGCCCAGCCGGCCCGCCGCCCTGGATCACTGCGAACACGGGCACCGCCAGCCTGACACGCGGCACGTCTCAGGCCCAGCCGCGGCCAGCCTGTGGGCGCCACGGCTGGACCACGGGACAGGCGGTGGCATACACAGCGCACGGCGCACAACGCACATAGCGATGTGTGAGCCTAACAGGCGAGCATGGCGCGCTCAACGACGGCATGAATTACCAGCAACGTTAAAGCGCACGGTGGATCAGGCCGTTTGCTTTTGCTGGTTTATTTTCCTCGAGGTGTCATCAAAGAAGTCGGACTCTTGGTTCGAGTTCGGGTCCATGTTGATTCAAGTCAGCATGCAAACGCCCTCGTGTGTGTGTGCTGTCAGTTTGGGACTCTGCCTTTGGGTCGATCAGCCTGGGTTACTGTCAACGTCGTTAATGTTCTCATTTGGACCACTGTTTCGCCGTTTGGAAGCAATAAAATGCATTTCATGTTCTGTTCGCTTGCTGACGCTGAAATAATTGTCCATGAGTGTCGAATGCCAGACCGGGAGTGTTCTTTATCGAGCTGAAAGGGTTGCGCTGCAGCCTGGAGGGCTCCTCCAACTGCAGCCTGGAGGGCTCCTCCAACTGCAGCCTGGAGTGATTCTCCAGCTGCAGCCTGGAACGCTCTTCTAACTGTAGCTTGGAAGGTTCTTCCAGCTGCAGCCTGGAGTGCTTCTCCAGCTGCAGCCTGGAGCGCTCTTCCAGCTGTAGCCTGGAGGGCCCCTCCAACTGCAGCCTGGAGGGCTCCTCTAATTGCAGCCTGGAGAGCTCCTCCAGCAGCAGCGTAGGGGGGGGGGGGGGCTTCTCTAACTACATTCTGGAATGCATCTTCAGCTGCAGCCTCGTAGCCGCATCGCTATCGCGGCCGTCGGGGCGACAGCGACAACTGACGAACGACAGCCGGAAGTTACTGGTTTAAACGAATGTCAGGCAGGCATTTAGATATATCCTGCAGATAATTGACGCTTCCAGCAGCGCTGCCGGTCCACGGTGGCGATGGGCACCGCTGGAAACATCGAGCATTCCCATAATATATCCCGATATGTTATGACTATCACTAGGTATAGTAGGATGTTATATCTATCTCTATCTACTATTATACTAAAGGAACAGTGTGTGTGTGTGTGTGTGTGTGTGTGTGTGTGTGTGTGGTGTGTGTGTGGGTGGGTGGTGTGTGTGGGTGTGTGTGTGTGTGTGTGTGTGTGTGTGTGGTGTGTTGTGTGTGTCTGTGTGTGTGTGTGTGTGTGTCTCTCTCTCTCTCTCTCTCTCTCTCTCTCTCTCTCTCTCTCTCTCTCTCTCTCTCTCTCTCTCTCTCTCTCTCTCTCTCTCTCTCTCTCTCTCTCTCTCTCTCTCTCTCCCTCCTCTCTCCCTCTCCCTCTCCCCTCTCCCCTCTCCTCTCTCCCCCTCCCCTCTCCTTTCTCCTCTCTCCTCTCTCCTCTTTCCTCTCTTTTCTCTTTTTCTTTCTCTTTCTCTTTCACTCTCTCTTTCTCTTTGCGTCTTTCTCTCTCCTTCTCTCTGCCGGTCGTCGTTTCGGTTACGTAACCATGTATCGATAACCGATTGAAGGTGGATTATTCTGGTATAATGAAGGTCGATTATTCTGGCATATTGAAGGTCGATATATAATGAAGTTCGATTATTTTGGTATATTGAAGGTCGATTATTCTGGCATAATAAAGGTCGATTATTCTTGTATATTGAAGGTCGATTATTCTGGTACAGTGAAGGTTGATTATTCTGGTATAATGAAGGTCGATTATTCTGGTGTAATGGAGGTCGATTATTCTGGTGTAATGAAGGTCGATTATTCTGGTATATTAAAGGTCGATTATTCTGATATATTGAAGGTCGATTATTCTGGTATAATGAGGGTCGATTATTCTGGTATATTGAAGGTCGATTATTCTGGTATAATGAAGGTTGATTCTGGTATAATGAAGGTCGATTATTCTGGTACATTGGAGGTCGATTATTCTCAGCGGACGGACTGAGGCGGCCTGGCGCTGTCGTCTGGGGCCGCTGCCGCCAACAGGCATCCGATCTCAGGCATGAACCAGATGGAGATACCACTCGCTCACCTGAGCAGGAGCTCTGGCACGACTCGAAGTCCTCGAAGTTGTTCCTGTTGCCGCGGCAGCCGCCGTAGGCGAACCGCACACACATGCCCTTCCTTGGCTCGTAGTACCAGCGCGCGAAGTTACCCCGGCAAGGTCCCTTCTTCGGCTCGGTCATACACACCACTGCAACCACAGGTCATCACCAGGTACCGCCAGGTCACTGCATAGCACGCGCTGTACATCTGAGAGCTGCGCACGGTGCGGGGTCTGATTGAACTATTGTCCTTTGGGTCGTGGAATGCAAATACGAAAACTAGCGGATTGACCGTGCGATCTGGGAGCAACCAGCGGAGCACACATAAAACAGCACGGGATCCTATTTTTCTGCACGCTGAATCGAGCCTGCTGCCCCAGTGACAATCTTATTTGCATTTCCACCCAAACAGTAGAGATCGCACATTAACAAGTCACAGCTCGCCAGCCTATTGTGAGTCTCCATCCTGCCGCTGTGACGCCACAAGGCGATGGCCCACGTGACAAAAGCCGAGGAACGCAATCGGCCACTGGGGGTGTTGTACGCGTGTGTGACACAGTGTGCTGTGGAGCTATCACGTCAGCAGGTTTGAGCCGATGGCGTCAGGACGCTAGGGTGAGTCACTCGGTTTGCGAGTTAGCCAGAGTCAACGATAGGGTGAGTCACTCTCTTTGCGAGTCAGCTAGAGTCAACGCAATTTCATTCGCCAGCAATGCAATGCAAAGCATGCAAAGTTTGCCAGCAATGCAGCCAAACGACCACGAAAGAACACGGGATGGTTCAGGGAACGCGAAAAAACTTCGAAAATGCATCGGCCCTGTCCGTGACCACGAAGTCAGCATTAAAACCAACCGATATATCAATATAATCAACATTAATTTTGTCGTGGGACGTCAGGGTTTTGCTGAGCGTAGATTCAAAGGTTTTGTTTTTTTTTGTTGTTGTGAAAACCGGATCAAGGAGCGCGTCAGGAGGTTAGTCCTCGTCCTATGAGAGCTCGCCCGTAACATGAGACTCCATCACCACACACTCTGGCTCGCTGTCGCACGCACTCTGTCGTGTGCTTCACCCAAAATGTGTTGTCCACCACCAGTTTACTCACCTTTGGCTTCCATGATATTCATGGTGCAATCGGCCCTCTCCGCCACGCAGGAGCCCTTCTGCATGAGCGGCACGTGCTGGCACTTGGCCTGCATCGGCTCTGGCACGATCAGGAGACGGGCCTTGACACGCTGTCCCCGGCCGCAGGTGACCGAGCAGGGCGACCACTCGCTCCATTCGGTCACCGGACACTGACTGTCCACCTGTCGGCACGTGCCCGGCGTCAGCAGTGACCGGCTGACCTCCAACTGACACCGGCTGACCCCCAGCTGGCACCGGCTGACCCCCAGCTGGCACCGCCTGACCACCCGCTGACATCGCTGACCTCCAGCGGACACCGGCTGACCTCCAGCTGACACGTTTTTGTCAGATTGGACTGCTTTTGTGTTTCGACCACATCTAATGACACCAAAAACGGAACTGAACCCCGTCCATGCAACTCCAGAAGCAGGATCAAGGGAGAGTCGCGTGCTTCACAAGAAATAAATGCAAATACAAGCCCCCTTTAAAAGAAAATGCATTGCTTCTTACCCGTGTGGCAGACTGAATGCGACGCTTGGGTGGGGGTGGGGGGGGGGGGGGGCTGTTCCCCCTGAGATATAAAAAGCCAAGGCAGATATGGACATCAATTTCACAAGCTCTATGTGAAATCATCAGTGTCAAATATCAAGGCCACTGTGTTTCAATCTCGGGGTCAAACAAGGTCAAACTCCAGATCGGGTCTTAAGTCCCTCAGCACTCGCGTAACCAGCTTTAGCCTAAATACATTTTCTATGAAGTAGCCACTGGTTTTCAAATCAGATTAGTGGCCGTATTTGACCAACATGACGTAAATATTACCAAAAACCTTCCAAATCGTTTTGTAATTTGCCTTTGAAATCAGCCTAAAATGCGCTAGGTGAAATGTTCCTGAAAGAAAAAGGGTTGTTTGGGTCAGTTTGGGTTCATGACCTCCCTTGACCATCATGAAGTCAAAATGAGTTCCTGCTGACGTCCCTATGATCAAGGTGTTCCAAGTGAGCGTCAAAAACCACCACGCCAAGTAAGTTTTCCAGTAATTAAGCGACTTTGGTCCTGGCCTTGATATGACCTTCGTGCTTGACCCAAAGTCAATATAATTAGTCACAATATGAATTAAATTGTCTAGTTGTCTATAAAACCGTCCTCAAAGGTGCACGAATTTGTCTCACACTTATTGTCAGATCCGATTAAACGATCCTTTGGTTCGCTGCCAACAATGGCCTGACTTTAGTCCGCCATCGGTCAACAACCTTACAAGGTGTATCTTTTTTATACCGAAAGGTAGGCCATTTAAATGTCTATGGCCGCTCAAAGCTTAGTGCGGCTGCGCTGCACCGTTCGGAAGTTATCCTGTAAAATCCACCCCACCCGAGCGCATGTGAAGTGGATGGATTGGTTCTGACGACCAATGACGGTCCCCGGCCATCAGCGTCGCCAAGCCTTACACCGCCAGAATCGCAAACGACGGCCACACTGAGCCGGGGCCACACCATCAATGCGCTGGACGGCCGGCGCGGCGCGCCGTTTTATCCACACAAATTGTCGGGACGGGTCAGCAGCGGTCGCGCGAGGCCAGCCGCCGGAAACCCTGTCCTGCCGCCTGTCACCAGGCGAAGTTTCGCAAAGTGGGTTGGGGGGGGGGGGGGGGGGGCGGGCTTGGTAGTGAAAACAACCCAACTTGTCCGCAAAATATGCCAGCAAACAGGTCTCTCATCGGGTTTTGTCCACTTTCTTCCCAAAGTTAGAGGGCTGAAGCCCAACCGTCCATGCAACCGTCTGCGCTCACAGTGGGACAGTGACCTGTGCCGGTCAGAGGTCGCGGTGCCGAACAGTGGTCCCTCTGCACCGTTTCGCCAGGCGGCAGGGACCGATAATAGAATTGGTGTTCCGGCGGCACTCAGGCGTTGGACTGACTCCCTGTGCCCGTATGCGATCCTTTTACGTCAGTGACGTGCCCCTGCGTTGATCCTGTGTCAGATGCCCAGGTCATAGGGCCCGCCGCATCAGTGATGGGATCGGTGCACTGTGTATCCACCTGAGCGCCTGCGGATTGACCAGGGTACCCCGTCCCCCACATCGCCAGAATAGCAGTTGCTAGGCACTCCGGGCTGGAACGAAGGGCCCTCCAGCTCCTGACCAAGAAAACTCATCAGTACAATTCACACCTGCCGTCCATTGCCATCCAGAAAATCTACCTCGATGTAGATTCTCTGAACGGAATTAGCACTTACATCATCACGAGCAATCGAGATTATGCCATCGCGTCATGCGCCCGTGTTTTTGTACATGCTAAAACGATATGAAAATATGTAGGCAATTGTGTACGAAAAAAACTTCGTGTGATATGTTACCTACCATATGTACAGTATGTATAACACATCATAATAATGCATATTACAAGATATACTTATTTAGCAAGCTACTACTGTGTTATGCTACAGCTATCTTATAGACAGAATGCAAGCGGGTTTTGTGCGCCGCGGGGGGGGGGGGCAGTATACCATTGCCCGTGTCGTTCACGTCAATTCCTTAATTAGAATGCAACAATTCTTCGCACTCCCTAAGGATACCCAAACAGATGTATCGCACGCTCTGAACATTTGCACGTTAACGACACAGGACATTTTACATATTCTATTGTTTACTGCAAGACATGGCGTCGCGTTAAAAGTCAACGAATGCTATTAGCATCGCCGCGTTCTGCTACCAATACCACCAACATTTCACTATCTGCGCCATGACATGTCACCCGAGTGGCACTGCAAATTGAGCAATATGCACAAGTTATTGCTTGTGCGTTGAACCGCCCACCGTGGGGTTTGATTACACGCGGTGCCCGCCCATTCTGTCGGGCTGAGAGGCAGGCGTCGCCATGCAGCCTCATAAGCGTGGTAAGATCCCTGTGACGCACAAGCATTCACTGTAAGGTTGGCGACTTACAAAATGCATTTTTTTGCGTGCTCCGTTACACGAAAGTTATTGTGTATTGTATTATATGAGTGTTTTTCTTGTAACCAAATCGTGAGGACCTACAACACCTTAAATTATCTTTACTTCAAAGAATTGATAGGGATATTTACCCAGGTTCCAGGTTGTGAAAGTCCAGCCAAATTTAGGGGTAGCCCAGCCCAATATTCTGGCGCCTAGTCCCGCATGGGAAGGGGGCGCCAGCTCAGCAATGGGGGAGGGGAGGGGGAAGGTTCCGCATCCCCCAGAGAGATGCTAAGTTCCACCTCTGCTGACCCTCCCCCCCCCCCCCCCCACAAACGAATAGGAAACCGCATCTTAGATCGTCACATTCTTGGTGCAGCATTGCTGAGAAACAATGAGGATGACTCGGCAGTCAGGAATTGTTCGGCATGGTTTGGGTGGAATTAGAGTTCTTTTGGCCAACAATGACCTTTTCTGAGCCGCAGTATTGAAGAGAGAGGAGGATGATGGGACTGCGCTGGCTGCGACCATCGAGGAATATCTCGGCTGACGAACCTACCCCGCACGGGGATCGTTCCTTGGGCTCTGCACGGGCCATATGTCGGGTCTGCCGCCGGGGCAGGCGTGATCACAGCTCTTGAAAAGAGGCTTCACAAGCTAAGGTAGGGGTGCGCCGAGCCTCAGACAGACGGGAGCCCCTGAGCCCAGCTACCGGCTGGGTTCTAGAACCTTGAGCTGCGAGTTTTGAGCAGGTATTAGATAGGCCCACGAGCTTACATAAAGACGACCGTCGCTGTTGGCGTCGTCTCCGTGAGCCGGCGATTCCCCTGCAAGCACTCACCTCCTCCTCCTCTGCGGCGCACTCGGTCTGGGCGGCCATGCACTTCTCCTTCTCCTGGGTGTCGTGGAAGCACTTCTTCCGTCCCATGCGGTCCAAGTACGTCCGCCGACGCATCCTGGAGAGGCACAGACGGGTACAGCCGTCAGTCACAACCAGCGATCTAGCATCAGTCGGCGCCGTTCAGCGTTGGAACGTCCAGGATGTGGGGTGTGCCCAGATGTGACTTGAAGCATTTATTCGGGTAAATTGTTACGTCAATCTCTGAAATGAAACTTATATCGTTTCAGTGCCATCAGAAATGTGAATCAGTCATCACCTACCGTCAATAAAGTAGAGCGAATGGGGGTGGCGAGAAGTCAACGTGGTGAGCCATCGCCTGTTTGGTCCCAGGGTAGGCTTACACGCGTAGGCCTACGCCTAAGCGGTGTAGGCTTACGCCCAGGCATTGTAGGCTTACATCAAGGCAACGTGGGCCTAGACCCAGACAGTGTTGGCCTATGCCCAGCCGGTGTAGATTTACGTGCAGACAGTGTAGGCCTACGCCAAGACAGTGTGGGCCTACGCCCAAACCGTGTATATCTACGCCCAGAAGCGTGGCAACCGGCGAGCCAGCAGGGGTGCCTGAGGCGACCTTTATCCTCCTGTTTTGCACTTTGTCCTACGACGATAGGCCGGAATAGCGGGCTGCGTAACGTGGATCAATCTGATATACGACAAATATCTTATGATAGTCACTTAAATAGTCCACTGTTCATATGAACATGCCAAAGCGCATGCGTTATGGGCCTTGAGCCAGCACCACGATTCGAATAATGTAATTTTGTGTCAAGCTAATGTGACTCTGAATCCAGGAACATCCTCGTAACTGAGAAATAATATACCAAAAAGTTAGCTGATAACTAACCTTGCCATCGTAACGCCGTGCAGCGCACCTTTTCCATTTTGAGGGGATTTGGCCGACCAAAGAGGTTTCTTTGCTGTATTTTTCACGGATCCAGCAAAACATTATGATATCAAAGAGCAGTCTGGCAGCCCCAGCGAGTCCCCAGTGCTAAGGCTACAACATGTAATTTTTGCCTTCGGTCTTAACGCTGTGGTGTAAAATACTGTCCCGATGAAACTACCACCCAACAACGCTTTTAATATGACAACGTTATGATAGAAGTACAGACGTTAGCAATGTGTCCAGTGACGATGCTTTGCTGAGGTTATAAACTCCTATCACAAACCAGTATTGTCTACTCATTCTGGGGAAAGTTTAGCTGGAGGACTTTGACGTCAGGCCCACCCCTTACGGACGCGAATAAATGCGTAACATGGGTGCTGAACAGGTGATCGGCCCTCGACCCCGAGCCAGCGGTAATGACAAAGTTAGCTGAGTAAGCTAACTAGGGCTCTGTCCCTGGCCGGACTGTGGCGCGTCTGCCGTCTGGCCGATGGCGGCTGCTGGCCACTGACCTGACGCCCTGGCCACAGGTGGCCGAGCAAGGCGACCACCGGCTCCATGTGGTCATGGCGCACAGGCCGCCTTCGTCGCCCAGTGGAGACCGCTCTCGCGTGGGCTTCGGCCGGCCGTCGCACGTCACAGGAGCGTCACACAGCACCTGCGGCCGTCACACGTCACTGGAGCGTCACACAGCACCTGCGGCCGTCACACGTCACTGGAGCGTCACACAGCACCTGCGGCCGTCACACGTCACTGGAGCTCACACAGTACCTGCGGCCGTCACACGTCACTGGAGCATCATATAACACCTGCGGCCGTCACACGTCACAGGAGCGTCACACAGTACCTGCGGCTGTCACACGTCACTGGAGCGTCACACAACACCTGCAGCCGTCACACGTCACAGGAGCGTCACACAGCACCTGCGGCCGTCACACGTCACAGGAGCGTCACACAGTACCTGCGGCTGTCACACGTCACTGGAGCATCATATAACACCTGCAGCCGTCACACGTCACTGGAGCATCATATAACACCTGCGGCCGTCACACGTCACAGGAGCGTCACACAGTACCTGCGGCTGTCACACGTCACTGGAGCGTCACACAACACCTGCAGCCGTCACACGTCACAGGAACGTCACACAGTACCTGCGGCCGTCACACATCACGGGAGCGTCACACATCACCCGCGGCAGGCGTTCCGACACACAACATTAGCAGTAGGCGACGCAAGTAGTCTGCAAAAAGAGCGCCGCTTTTTCACCTCTCGCGTCAAATCCGTTTATCACCATGGCGCCGCCCTGAGACACCGGTGGGCATGTACGGGTGCACGAACGGACGGAACTTAACAAGCACGTTAAGTTTTTCACACGTATATGTAGGGTTCACGTAACACCGTGTTGTATTTCGTATCTATTATAAAAGGGAGCATCCCCAAATAATCAAGGATATAGGTTTGTTATCAAAACCTGTCTCTCTCCTGAGAATTTGGAACATGGAATTTTCCTTTATTATTCGGCAACAATACCGCAAATATGCGCGCGGTGACATTTTGTTTTAGGCGCTGATGCAAACTAAGGTTTGTTTAGTCGCTGCAAGGCACTCACTGCAGCTCACCAACTTATCAGCGGCTTACCGTATGCTGGGAACAAATGAGCCGAGCCATGCGCCTCAGTCATCCTGCCAACTCATCAAGCCACGCACCTTTTCGACCAGCTGTCGTTTGCAGTTCATCATACGCGCCTTTGCCGGCAGCTTGTACTGGCGTGTGCGCATGCTCAGACCCTCTCCGCAGGTCACGGAGCACTGCGACCAGTCGGTCCACGGTGACGTCATGCACTCGGCTGCCAGGGCAGAGGCGCCGGGTCAGCAACACGGCGTACTGAGGCCGGAGCCAGTGCACTCAGAGAAGGGCGAGACTGGAGGGGCTTGGCCGCATTTATTTACACGAAATGAAATGCAGAAGCGGCTAACTCTGCGCTTGTCCAAATATTTGCCTTCCGTGAAGCAAGACGACAGCGATTGTAATTCCCTGGTGAAAACTGCGGTTATCCAGATTCTTTCCAAAGTACGAAAGGAAATCACCCCAACCCAAAACAAAGCAAAGGTGGGTAGATGGGAATTGGGTGGGTGAGTGGATGGGGGTTACCCAAGGTAGAGCGACGCAGGACAGAGTTCCAGATCTTCCTCCCCAGCTGAGCTCACGTAACTGCCTCCCTGGCTCAACCATTGGTGCACACGGTGGATAGGGCGTGGCTCCGTATAGACTTGCAAAATGTATTTCCACAAAAGGAAAGGAAAATAAGCAACAAAGAGGCGCAAAACAGGATGAAATAAGCAAAAAGAGTAAAACAAAACAAGGAATCAAAGGAAAAAAATGCGTCAACATCGTCATGAGGCATGAGGCGTCTGCCGATCAGCGCCCGGACCTCCCACCCTCCCCCCGTCCTCCGCCCCTCCCCCACTCACGCCTGTCGTCCTGCGGGTGGTCGTCGGCCCCGCCGGCAGCCGCATGGCCGCTCGGCTCGTGGTCGCAGGACCGCGGCACGACCCGCGTGCGTGTCAGCGTCAGCCGCGCCACCGGCGCCGCCGCCTCGCCGTGGAACGGCGCACGCACGTCGTCCGGCCAGCGGGCCGTGATGGCGCGCACAGGCTGGCGCGGCGAGAGCGGCGCGTTCGGCGCCTGCGCAGGGCGAGAACGGCGTGAGCGAGAGCGGCGTGAGCATGAGCGTGTGCGGCGTGGCGTGAGCGTGGCGGCGTGAGCGGGAGCGGCAGCGGCGTGAGCGTGAGCGTGTGCGTGAGAGAGAGAGAGAACGGCGTGAGCGTGGAGCGAGAGCGGAGTGAGCGTGAGCGGGGGCGGCGTGAGCGTGAGCTCCGCCCGATCACGAGGTTAGCCGAGGAAGCATCGGCGACTCATCACTCATCACTGCTTTGTGGCCGCCGCGTGGCCGATGGCCTCGCACCGACGCGCGACTCCGGACTGACGCCGGGCACGCGGGCTGCCGTCGTGCAAACAGACCGGAGCCGTCCGCGCGCAGTGACAGCAGACCGGCGGGGCGGCAGACGACAGGCCCGGCGCGATAACCTTTGACGCAGAGCCAGGAGCGTTGCCGAGGCTCCGACGCCGCCGACGGCAGGTCAGCACGACAGCTTGTAACTTTCGCGGGCAAACATAAGACACCCTAATTGTAGCACACACCTCAGTACGTAATGCCGCCGTCGGTTCCTGCGTCGTACAGTCCCAGGTCAATGATCTTCTCCTCCATCCAAGAGCAGTTCTTGAGGCACAGGTCGAGTCCGGAAATTCCCAAAATCCAGTCCGGGGATGGACCTGCAGTAGGTGGGGCCGGGCCGGACGCTTTCGTTAACGCCGGTGCGTACAGACAGCTCAGGTCGACAGACAGGTAACTGTCACCGCACGTCTGTTAACCGGAGGCGCCGACCTGTCAGGGCACGCCAGCCATTCAGCGGGACGGCGCGCTGCAGTGCGGCAGTGCGGCAGTGCGACTCGGCGCGGCGCGCGTGGCCGTCGGGTCAGAGGGTCCTCACTGGGTGACGGGGTGCCGTGGGCGGGTGGGCGGCCCGGCCCGGCTGCGGACCGGGGTTGCGCGGTGTGAGATGGAGCGCAGATCTCCAGGCCGTCACGGGCCTTTTGCCGGCTGCAGACTTTGTCGTTGGTGGTCGAATGTTAAGCACCTCGTGTGATGGTTTTTGTTTTTTAACACGTGCTCGGGTGGCGGTCAAATTGACCCCCCAAAGTTTTTTCCGCAATGGTAACCGAACAGGTGCCGTGTAGCAGCGTCAAATTTTGCATAGCTGTAAACAATTGAATAGCGGATAAAAATGTGGATGTACTTTGCAATGTTGTTAACCTATGGCAGGTCAAAGTCATGCCATGGATTCAGCGAAGTCAATTTCTAGGGCATTGTTCGATCAGATGCAACAACGGAGTGCTAGATGAAGCTATACATCTCCGAAGATACTTTCTTAGGCAACACAACAATTGAGTGAACAAATTCCATCCACCTAGGGTCAGGTATGAGGGTCAGAGCGAGGTCAAAACCAACCTGTTTTATTACTCTAGGGCTTGCTGTAAGGGGTAGTCCAGGTGCATCAAGGTTCCGGGGCATTTTGAAGGCCAACCTGGAATTTGACCCTATTTGACCTTGTTTGATCCGAAGGTCATGACCTAAAGGGCCTTAGATTTGACCTAAATGTGTTCACGTACGGACCAACACGTCTTGTAAGCTTGGTGGGTCTAGCTCTCTCAGTTTTTGAGATCTCGGTTTGGTCCAAATTGACTCTCACCCGAGCGAAGGGTATCCAACCGGCCACCCGGGCGCGCGTTAAAGTGGAACCGATTTCGAAGAGAAAGAGCTGCGAGCAGCAAGATGGAGAACACAGAACATTCTAGCGTTGAGGCAGGTTTGGCTGGTGAGGATGGTACGTCTGGTGGAAAGGTTTCACTGCCGTAACAGAGACAGTTCCGTGCAGCATGTGTGGTCCACATCTCACCCACCTATCATCGTGACTGCGGAGACCAGGTGTCGTCGCTTGTCCACCCGGAAGTCGGTTGATGTATTTCCCTGGACGTTGGGATGCCAGAGCCCCTTGGCTCGCACCAACGACCTCAGGGCCTTGCCCTGCCAGCAGGACACGACATACATCGGCCCACTTGACGCAGAGCGATCTATAGAGGTCGCCCCCCCCCCCGCGCCCTATGACACTGCTTGTCGCAAATTATGTGCGTGAGGGGTTCGGTGGTGAGCGCCCTTCCTCACCGTTCGCCGTGCCGTTGGGGCGAGTCGAGCCCGTCCCGGCGGAGAGCAGGCTGCTGCCCCCTGACGACGTGGCGGCTGACCGCACACATACATATCACTCAGTGAGTGCGCACACCGCCTATATGGCAGAACAGCGCTCGTCGGCGTAACCACCACGAAGTTCGGATAGCCAGTGAAGTCAGGGCGGATTGGACTATTTTGGGACTTTGACCACATAAAATGCCGCCAGAGCAGACCTGGACCCCAAAAGCGCAGTAGCGCGTGGTGGCGCACATGCCCCTGTCTGGCTTCACGTGCTAACCCTCCCCCAGCATCTGGCTGCGCGGGTGTTGAGAATTTCCATCGGCGCGCAGCCATCTGCTGTGCACTGCCCCTGGCGCACGTACATACTCACCTCAACCACACATCGGTCCTACCCGCAGTTCTTTGTGGATCGGGTCATGCTGTTCAATACTCAACCGCGAGGAACAGCAACAATGTCATGCAGCATGAGCACCACCCGAGTGAGGATGAACTGGCTGCGACCGACGGACCGTCATGAAGCATGACATCCTCGATCGCCTGCCCAGTCGACAGCGGACGCACCTTAGACTTCAGCTCCTGCTCCAGCTTCCTCGTGAAGCCCCACTCGGCCACCTGCTTGAGGCCGTCCGAGGCGACCTCCCCCTCCTTCCACATGGCCACGCTCGGCACGTGTGATGCTACCAGGATGTCGCTGAAGTGGGTGAGCCACTCGTTCCGCGGGAAGTCCTTGGGGTGGGTCTCCCTCGACCAGAGGCCCTTGAACTTCATCTGACGGCGCGGACCGGCGAGTTAGTCCGTCGCTGGAGGCACACCAGCGAGACGACTTACGAAGACCGGAGGAAGGCCAGCAGCTTATATATATATATATATATATATATATATATATATATATATATATATATATATAATATACATAGTTGTATACATATAAATATACACAGCTTAATATACATACAATATATATATGTTGGAAAATTTTGGCATAATGTTTTCTTTTATACATGCTCGATTAAAAGTAACTGCTGACTCAGTATTGACGAGCTTTTTGACTCATCGTTCTAGTTTCCGGGCCTTTGACATTGGCATCATCACTTAGATTAAAGATGGTTCGCACAAAATTACCCATATATTCATCGTTCCTTACATTCTAACGTTTCGAGATCCTATCTTATCGTCGGCGAAGACTGGATGGCACAAGAAATAGGTTTTGAGTTTTTAAGGACAAAAAATTGTGCACTTCTGTTGGAAAGCATCTTTTGGTACGGAGAACATAAATGAAGCATAACTCATTGAAGTAAGACAGAATCCTATTTTCACTTTGATACATATAAGAAACATTCATAATGGGAACACTACAAAGACATTGTCTTTGTAGTGTTCCCATTATGAGTACTTGTGGTGTTCCCATTATAAGTGTTTCTTGTATGTATCGGAGTGTAAATGTGATTCTGTATTACTTAAATTAGTTTTGCTTCATTTATGTTCTCCGTACCAAAAGATGTTTCCCAACATAAGTGCACGATTTTTATCCTTTAGAACTCAAAACTTATTTATTGTGACATTCAGTTTTCTCCGACGATAGATGGGATCTCGAGACGTTAGAACGTAAGGAGCGATGAATATATGAGTAATTTTGTGCGAACCATCTTTAATCTAAGCGATGATGCCAAGTCAAGGCCCGGAAGCTAGAACAATGCGTCAAAAAGCTCGTCAATGCTGAGTCAGCAGTTATTTTAAATCCCAAATATATATATATATATATATATATATATATATATATATATTTACATATATTGGTATCGCTGCCGGTGAGTTTGAGCAGGATTAAACCATCGCGTACGGTGCTGCGCATTTAGGTTAGCATTGATTGCTCACACTTGGCGTCGTAACTGGTACATATGTACATTCGCAGATGTCAATAGCGTAATATACTAACGGTACCTACATAACTGCTATCAAAGTGTTGGCAGCCAGATCTAGTATGCACACTCGAACGCCACGGCACGCAAACAGCTCTTGCATATCATGTCTAATGAACATGAGCACACCTAAGAAACTGGGTGTGGAGGGGGACTTCCATTGTCAGGTCATTGCTTGTTATGCATGACCATAGGTTTGCGTCCAATTCCATAGGTTCCATGTCCATAACCTTCAGCTCATAGGAAGATCTTTGTTTTACAGAGATGAAGGCATCAGTGACCTCACCCCGTTCTTAACTGTCTATGTTCTTGATATCAGGCTCCATAACCCTCTGCTAGTCATCTCCCGATTTTTTTATTGCCCGGGTGTAAACGGCAAGTGGTTTGAAATTCTCTCTTGCCTTTGAGCACTGATAATCATTCATAGGTTCACATCTTACTTAAAAAAAACATTTAATTCAACAATTTACTTTAGCTTTTGAATGCAACGAGTCAACTGTAGATGGATCTACCCTGTCTGAGTAACAACGGTTGACGTAAATTGTTAACTGTACGCTCATGGCTCTAGTGCAAGTAAATTTATCGTTGACATGGTCTAGAAAGCTGCCGAATGCGTAGTGAAGTCCTGCAATGAAGGGTGTTGCGAAGCAGAGCGGAACAAGAAACCCAGGTCGTCCGATCTCCGGAAGAGATGGCGCTTGTCTCGATCTATAGTGTTTCCATTCGACAGCATGTACCGAGCTGAATAGCACTTGCGGCGGGGAAGATGCGATCCACACCTCCACTGCTACGAGCGATGTTCTATCTGGAGTCTCACTTGTCATCCCGTTAGCAACGCTTGAAATATGGCATGAATGAGGGATGTCAGCATCGTAAAACAGCTCCGTTCTGTATTTTAGCTTTGGTGTGGTGCACTGGAAGTGGTGATAGGATCTAGACCTAAATTTGAGTTATCTACTTTTATCGTATGTAACACAAAAAAATGCACAACACTCTGTGTTATTAGAAAATAGCTGAAAAATGAAAGAACAGTTCGAAATGCTCAAAGACAATGCACACAAGTGGGAAGCACAAAGATGCCAGAAAACAAAACAACAGTCTACTGGCCAGGCCCATTTGCGAGGCTTTCCACTCTCCCCAATGAGAAGAGCTGGGGAGTGAAGGCCGATCTGAGCGGCGACGGCGCCCTCACCTGGTACTTGGCCTCATCGCAGGCGCAGCAGGTGTGGGCAGGGTCCCGCGGCGGGCGGGGCCGCGGCTGCTGCTCGGTCCTGGGCCGCTCTTCACACAGCGTGCGCGTCAGGCCCTCGTCGTCCATGTACCAGACGTAGCGGGAGCGCACGACCACCGCCCTGCAACAGGTGGAGGTGATGCAGCCACTGTGCTGGGGACTGGAGCGCACGACCACCGCCCTGCAACAGCTGACGGTGGTGTGGCCACCAGGCTGGGGACTGGAGCGCACGACCACCGCCCTGCAACAGCTGACGGTGATGTGGCCACCAGGCTGGGGACTGGAGCGCACGACCACCGCCCTGCAACAGCTGATGGTGATGTGGCCACCAGGCTGGGAGCACAAACTGAGAACTGAATCGGGTTCTCGCACCGCGCATTGCACACGAATATGATGCCGAATGAAAGACACAGATTTAGAGAGCTGCAATCTCGAACTTAAGAACGCTTCCGTTTCTATCAAATAAATCTGAAAACTGCACTTAAGAGAAAAAAATTAATGAAATATGGATACATTGTTTAAAATGCCAAAACACCAAAACGTATACCATCGAGATAAAATCATCGGGACCAAAACAGACAAAGGAACATCAAGCACAGTAACAGCAAGCTAATGCTTGCCCGGAAAAGGTAAGGGTCTCGTAAGTATCCAAAAGAGTGAAGCGAAATGAGGACAAAACATGAAATTAGGCCAAACGGTGTTGCCTGAAAAAGTAGCCTTCTCCAGAGTCGACAAGTGAAACAAATTTACATAAAAAATTGAATCTGTGCTCACAATCTTAGGAGCAAGAACACCGCTGAGCGGGACCACAGTTCCTGGCAAACCGAGCAGCGTTGACTGCCGCAGATAACACCAGAAGGAGGGCGCTGGGCGCGGGAGCACGAGCGTTGTGAAATAATCCTTCCGAAAGTCTTCCAAAACAATTCGTATCTTTAAAAAAGACTGGGATGTACAATGCAGCTGTGAGAGTTTGATGTTGGTTGGCCTCTGAACAGCTTAAAGGCTACAGCAACACGGAAATGGAAATTTTGCCTCTATTTTTCCAGCTCCCCCACCAGATTCCAGTACCATTTCGCAATGCTGTCAATGCTAATTCGCTCTTGTTGACAACCAAAACACGCGCAGGTGGTGTATTCGTTTGGGCTGCCTTATAAACGTACCAATTCATGTTTTAAAGGGTTTAAAGGCCTTCTTTTAACGCGTCATCGTTCTCGCCCACCCGTTGGCCACGGCCTAGTCTTAGCCGGAAAGGGAGCTGACACCGCGCGCCCTACGGAGCCTGCAGCCCCGGGCGTCGAGTTCTGTTTCTAAGGCTTCCAAAGCACGCATGCTCATAACTATCTCAGACTCATGGGATGGCAATGTCAACACACAGCTTTGATCCCGTTTCGATCTACAATCTACCTTCACTGAGGCCTTAACACTTGTCGCTGTAAAAAAACGGCGAATCCCCTGAGTGTTAGTTAAAAAATTTTACCATGGTAAGAGGAAAATCAGAAGATTACGAAAGCGTTACATTCTGTGTAGTTTTTGAGCACCTGGCTTCTTCAGCTTCCTGAATTAAAAACGCGAACGGATATGCATCTTTTGGTGGCTTCTGGCTTCTGTTGAGGTAAACGCCGGTAAAAGTAATAAGAAGGCGAAGGGGAACATGTCCAATGATTTTCCCTCGGGGGTGGGGGGGGGGGGGGCTTTGCTAACTCTGTCCACCCACCCCCAACCACTACCCCAAGACTTGCTAAAAGAGATGCAATAACCTGGGTGCTATTTTTTGTTAATTCCTGTCATGGACACCGCAACTTTAAAGACTTGCGCAAAAGTGCACGGGGAATCCTGTTGCACTATTACATCAACGTTATCTAAAACAAACAACCTCATGCGTCGAATACTGCAATCACCACTGCTGCCAGGTCACCACTGCTGCCAAATGTGCTCTGCTGCATTTCTGTTGTAGTCGCAGGTTTGAAAATCATTTTTCGGTCAGAGTGATGGCGGACCTCCGAATAGGACTATTGTCGTAAGTGCCGCCTGGAAGTGGTTAGTCTGGCTGAGCGGGAGTGGGAACGGCTTGGAGCAGAGCACCTCAGAGAAACAGCAGGGGCACAATGTGTGTTCACTGAAACGAACGGGGAAAAGTCAGGCCAAACATAAAATAAGTTGCTTAAGCGTAGTTGCGAACGGTACGGTTGAGAGCCAGTTGCCTTATATAAGGCGTAGAAGAGCACTAATGTTTTGCTTTAGCTGAAGTGCATGTTGCATCATCTTAGGCACCTTGCCGATTATATTTTTATTTGTCGAGAACGTGCGTGTAAAATGGTTGCGAGAGGCACGTATATTCTAAACAGTTCATTCTTGTAACTACACAGATAAATTATTAACGACTTACCTAAGTACACAATGGTATGTTATGCGCATATCTCACATTTCAGTATGCAGAAGAAAAACACAACTGTACCCCTTCTCCTACACAAAGGTGGCGTGCTTCTAAGCAGTTAGTGCGAAACTGCGGCTTCGTTATGTGATTGCTGTAGATAAGCGCATTTTTGCCTTCGAAACATGTCATAAATATTGATATATATATATATATATATATATATATATATATATATATATATATATATATATATATATACAAAACATTAAGTGGATGAAATCCCGATAAGTTTTTCGTACCTGTTCCTTTTCGGTGGCTTACACGAGTTTGGCTCCCAATCATTTGGAGAAATCGACAACCATGCCTACTGCGCTATACCGCTACAGGCGCAACTAGCAGCCGTTTGCCATTCCCACTGGCCAGCGTCATTGGTTATGATTAAACTGGAAAGGGATATCGTCACCTCCGAGACGAGCGTGGCGTCCGTGCCGCGACCCTGTCCTCTTTCACACCGATAGGGGCATGGTTTCGCAACATAAGAAGGGGGGCGGTTGAACAGTGAATGAATAGCTCAACCTACTCCAAAATACACAGAACGGGTTTCTCCCCGGACCTGGCCGGCTGTTTTCTCGAAGTTGGAGGACTGTGAAGCTTCAGTATCCCCCAACTAGGTAAGACAATACACTCCTGCACTCAAATCAACCCCACAGGGGAAGAAGTAGCCGTTAGAAAGCGTGGTGAACTTCGGTATGTGACCCGCCTTACCACTGGCGCCAGCGGCGGTCAGGCTGGTGATTATCCCTACTCTAGTTTCTCAAAGACACGTGAGAATAGCTCGTCATCATCTTCTGGCCTAATACAGGCCGTCGCACCGGCACTGCACTGGAGCTACTGACCACAGGACACGAGACGGGCTGTCCGGCCGGGGCGGGCTGTCCGGAGGACGCCGGTGTGTGACGGCACGAGACGGGGCGGGGCGGGGCGGGCTGCCCAGAGGACGCCGGTGTCTGACGGCACGAGACGGGGCGGGGCGGGGCGGGCTGTCCGGAGGACGCCGGTTCCTGGCCGACCTGACTGACCGCAGCACATGAGGCAGGGCGTGGTGGGCTGTCCGGAAGGCACCGGTGCCTGACGAACCTGACTGACCGCAGGACACGAGGCGGGGCGGGGCGGGCTGTCCGGAGGACGAGTTCCTGACGGGCCTGACTGACTGCAGGACACGAGGCAGGGCGGGGTGGGTTGTCCGGAGGGCAACGGTGCCTGACGAGCCTGGACTGACGGCAGGACGCGAGGCGAGGCGGGACGGGCTGTCCGGAAGGCAACCGTGCCTGACGAGCCTGACTGACCGCAGGACACGAGACGGGGTGGGGCTTGGCGGGCTGTCCGGAGGAAGCCGGTCCTGACGGGCCTGACTGGGTGCAGGACACGACGAGGCAGGGCGGGGCGGGGCGAGACGCCGATCACATCGCAGGGCAAGTGTGGATCGCCGCCACAACAGAGCACGTTACTGGTCCGGACATCTGCCGTGCCCACTGTCTCACTGGTCGGACCAGAAAAGGCAGCGTAAAGGCCCTCAACTTAGCAGAGAGCACGCTGCATCAAGCCACGCACCGCCAAGCGCACCACTGCACCAAGCCGCGCCCACAGTCCCGGCGGCATCGCCAGCCATGCCTTCTGTCGCGCGTCCCAGGCCTCGGCCCGAGCTCAGCTGAGCCAATGGAAACCACCAACCCCAAAACAAGTCTTCAATGGCGCCGTGCAATTTACAGACTGTAAACGAGTCGGTTGTATCGCGACGTGCGATTCGTAACGGATTCGTGAGCAAGACACGTGGGTGAAACGGAAGCATTTATGACATCAATGCGCTTCCTGCATGGCATCGCAGTGCGCATGCGCTACACTTTTATTGCAGGAGGGTCCCTCGCCGCGGCGGCTGGGCACCCGGTCACCGAGGCACCGCTGGCACCATCACGAGCGGCGTCCATTGATGCTAGCAGTGTCAGCAAAGCTTTACACACGTCCGCAGCCCTCTGGCCCGACGGAAGAGAGGTCTTTCCGCCACCGCTGCGGCCGGTGTGGGCGGACTGGGACGGGTCGGCATCTGGCGGCGACCCATCGCGAACATTCGTCACTTGTGAGTGACACCGCGGGTACAGGCAGATCGTGAGGACGGGGATAGGGTGAGCCGTGGCCGTGTCTTCGCCCGGCCAAGTCGGCCAGAAGTGCCAAGGATCTATAAACATGGCGGGTAACCGCTGAGGGGAGAGGGGCAGCGGACATGTATTTCCTGAATTTTCCCATATCGAGGTTTTGTTCCCCAGTTTGGCCACACAATGCTAATTTTACACGTTTTGTCCAACACAAAATGTCATTTTGCTGTCAGATTGTGCCCCTACGTTTTAGGCCCCCCCCCCCCAGTCCTAATTTGTGCCCCCAAACCTGCGAGAACTGACTACACAAATGCCTGTTAGGCACACGCGCGTACGGGATAGGAACATTCACTCAGCGGGGAGAAAGGAAGCGCCGGAAGAACATCAGTGAACTACAAAGACCGTTAAGCAAGATTTCAAATTGTAAAATGTCACTGCCGTCTCTATCCAGTGTGACCACGGTCGAAGTGTGCTCGCTAAGAGAGCACTGATACTGCGGTGACACGCACTGCGAACATTTGAAAGCCCCATTAGGAGTTGCCTTCAAATCTTTTGGCTCACGTTCGTTTGCGTTCTTCAGCTGACCGGAACACCTGGCCAAACTGCCCTGGCGCACGTGCTTACGGCTGACCGCTGCTGCAATGGTTAGGAAAAGGACTATGGACGCTGCTCGTCAACCGAACTAAACGGTCTTAGCAGGCAACGCGGGGTCTTCCCCGGGACGTCTGGAAACCGGAGTTAATTCACAGGCATGACGCGTGCAAATGAGCGATTCTCACTGGCTGGCCACGTGTTCCGCATCTAGCCCTCGTCCAGCACATAATCCAATGGGAGTGGGAGTGTAGCTCACCTGAAGGCGACGCAGCCGGCGCCGGGCGGCGGCGCCATCCAGAGCACCTCGGCCTCCGTCTTGGGCACGGTGGACGTGTGGGTCACCATGCTGGGGCAGCGCGGATCGAACTTGGCCAGACCGTAGCCGAATAACCGGAACGAGCCGGCCTCGCGCGTCGCCGAGCCGCCCGTGCGCTCGTTCTGCGCCACCAGGCTGAAGGCGGTGAACTTCTCCGACAGGTACTGTGTGCGCCAGCCCATCAGCTTCACTGCCGGCGAGGAGGACACAAGGATAGCTCACGGTGTCACGTGCGCCGGCCGTCAGAACCAGGGTCTGCTGCGAGAGTGAAAGGTTCACACTGGCGGATCCGGGGTGGGGGCAGGGGCATTCCGGACATGTCTCTCTGGGTCCTGGTTGCCAAAAAGGGCTATCATGTCTTTTATCCCAAACGGATTTGATTTAACAGCCGCCAGTCATACAAAAATATTTTTGTTGCGTTAAAAACATCACAATTTCCTAGCGCCTTGGGGTGAAATGAATGCTTCTCAACCAAAGGCGAATCCAGAGCCATATCATGGAGGGCGAACCTTGGCTAGAAACGGAATTTTAAAAAAGCTGTCATATATTTCAAACACTCGTCGGATTTTCCTTCCCTTTCGTCAGGGGTTTTCTAAAGCAAACTTCTCGTACAGTTTTGATTGATCGTACAGATCTCGTACAGTTTTGATTGATCGTACAGATCTCGTACAGTTTTGATTGATCGTACAGATCTCGTACAGTTTTGATTGGTCGTACAGATCTCGTACAAAACGATCCGGATGAGTTTTTAGAATCACGAATGGAATAATTGGCCGGACTACCGTCCTTGTTTGGTGTGCTGGTTTATACACAACCTTTACATACCAGCACAGAACTCTGGTTATAACGCATACACGGCTGAGAGCTAAATCTCGCCCATTCCTCAGTACTCCGTGACTCCTGACGACGGCCGGCGAGTCAACTGGCCGAAACGTTGCGTGCAAACTAGCACACGAGGCGAGGACGATAGCTGGCACAAGTTTTCCATCCGTGACCCCTGTCTTGGTGAAATCTGCTGAGATTTTCTTTGAAGTTAAGAAATGGGTCACTTGGGCCATTATTTAGAGGGGGCATGGCCCGGTTGGGTCCCCTTAGATCCGCTTCTGTACCCAGCCGCGTCGTATTTTTCATTCAAGTCGTGTCAGAAGCGATGGTATGCTGCACATATCGTGATACATTAAGTGTGTAATTGGTGCATAACACGACAGCGGGGTTCAGCTGGTCTCGAGCTACACTAAAGCAAAGTTCGAGCAATGCCTGCCGTTTATCCACTCCAAAACACGAGGTTGTAAAATGCACTTAGAAATATTTAGGTATTGATCGCTTCAGTCGACGCTGCAGGGCGCATGGACTATAGCGGTCATTTAGCACCCACAACTCTCTGCACCGGACCAGACTATTAGACGGAAGTTCGATGACCGGGGCTGGCGGTTTCAGTGTTGCAATGTTTTGCGAGAGCATGTTTGCAATGCAATGCTTTGTGAACGGCATAGCCAAACTAGTCTGCATGATATACTTAGTGTTGGGAAGTACATGTTCTGCACATACTGCAAAAACTTTCGGCGTCTGCTTGTGTGAGGTGGAGCTTACATTTCTTCCTTGATGACATCATTGCGCGACAAAACACGTAAAATATCTCTAGTATACATATATATATAATATATATATATATATATATATATATATATATATATATATATATATATATATATATATACATATATGTGACATGTGTGTGTGTGGTGGTGTGTGTGTGTGTGTGTGTGTGTGTGTATGTGTCTGTGTGTGTGCGTGTGCGTGTGCGTGTGCGTGTGTGTGTGCGTGTGCGTGTGCGTGTGCGTGTGCGTGTGTGTGTGTGTGTGTGTGTGTGTGTGTGTGTGTGTGTGTGTGTGTGTGTGTGTGTGTGTGTGTGTGTGTGTGTATGTGTGTGTGTGTGTGTTTGTGTGTGTGTGTGTGTGTGTGTGTGTGTGTTCAACCTCAGTACAACACCCACAGAAAACCGGCGCTCGAAAACAAGCGCAGGCGCCAGCGGTCGCGAAGGTTCAACGACAGGCACTAAGACCTTAAATCTGAAGGAAAGAAGGGCCATAGCGATGGGTTGATGAAATCTAATTCTTAAATTTCTTGCCGCAGATCCTTGAAAGCAAACGTTCCGAGCGGGAAGACTCAGTGCCTGAGCACATTCTGGCAAAGCTGCCCGCCCGACGGTTGCAGCAGGCTGCAGCTGCTGCAATCCTGTTCCCATTACCAAGGAGTTAAAAGGTGCATTTAACCGGGGCTCAGAGCTTCCAGTCCAGCAAACAAGCAAAAGGTGTTCCTGACTGATCTGCTTTCCAAAGGGGCGTCAGCAGTTCTAATACAGGTTTGGCAACCATATCTACGAAGGTGTACGTTGTAGTATGCGTTGCATGGCTTTGAAAGCATGGCTGACACGTCCTCATCATAAAAGCCGTTGCACGACGCTGATTGGTGCGAACATCGCGGCTGCAGCGGCCGCAAGCGTCGTGAATAGAGCCACATCCTGGGAGAACGGTGGTGATTGGCGGAGAAAATAATACTGGGATTCGTGAACAATGGTCGGATGACGCCCGAATAGGCGAAGAAAATAATACTGGGATTCGTGAACAATGGTCGGATGACGCCCGGATAGGCGAAGCGCTAACCAAAAGATACCACAAAGATGCAGCCCATTGGCACATCAAGGACACCTCGTGGCAGTTTTGTAAGCTATAGTGCGAGCACTCGCCATATATCTGTGTTTTGCATCGTTGTCGTCACCCCCAGCCAGCTGGGTGACAGAACACGGAGCGAAGGCACGGCAGCCGGTGACATAAAACCAGTCACGCAGCCAGAGCCATGGCAAGGGGGAGGCCTAGGGTTGTCAAAGGACCCCCTGATAGCGAACAGAACCCCTCCAACAATCACCGAATATGGCCTATCTGTTAGTGAGGGCATGCTTTTCACTGGTGCTTTTCATTTTTTGCCGTCTAAAGCTGGAGTATAAGCCAGAAGGTACCGCGAGATAAATTCTGACTAAATCTTATGGTCAATATACTCAAAAATCATGCGTTTAACGATTGCAGGCAGCAAATGCAGGCAGCTATCCATTTCACACTAGTCCATAAGTCCATAAGAGTCCATAGCCCTAAGCCGATAGAGCTCACAAGCTTCGCCATAATTTTTATCTGGGCTCTACAGAGATGTTAGGGGCCCATCGAATGTAAATTGTAGCTGAAAATAAGCCGACGAGGTGTATTAACTTGGCCAAGCCATAGCTGTCTGGGCGCTCGCAAGTTTTAGTGACAAAAACCTCGGCACCACGCGTTGCAGTCTCCATAGGCCACGCAGCGTCGGTCTCCTGGCTTCCGCTAAATTGTGGCCAACGGGTGGATGAAAATGATGACGCATTTGAAAGAGGTACCTTTGAATGTTTTGGGGCATCACATCGCACATTTAGTAGGTAGTCCAGGCGTATATTTCACCCGTGCAGTTTTTAGGTTGGTGTTAAGAAATGATTGGCATTTACGGATGTGGCGAAGTGGTGCTGGGTAGAATCTGGTGCTGGTTCTGGAAGGGCAGAGGAAGAACCTCTATTTTTTGTGTTACTGTAGGTCTTCATTTATTTAGAGAACAGCATCGAAGTTGTAGAAAAAAGATGCGCCCTGTCTTATCTTTGAACGATCCAAATTAATTTTGAAAGACGTTCGGAGCCATTATCTCACGACGGTCGCTCTCGCGCAGGGCGAGTGGTATCACTTGCAGTGGCCGACGCCGTTCAGGTTTCACAGAAATTGCAACCCAGACCATCGCTTTTCTTGCTCCCGAGATTTAGGGGCGCATAGGTTCAAACCTTATGATGTAATTTGTTTCAGTAATCGATTCTGCAAAAGTATGAACATTCCCAGGCCAACATGGGATGACTTTGTTCGTTTGTAAACTCATTTTGACCCAGCCTTTTCAATACTAATGAGACCTCTTCTTTCCAGGCAAGGGGGTCCTCGAGTAGAACACTAGGGAGCACATTAGTGCTCCCAGTCAGGAGCTGAAGAGACATTCCGTTCTACTGCGCTGTGTCTTCCGGTTACTGTTCTGGCAACTACGGGGTGGGATCGCCTGACCGATGCCCGGAGGGCATCCATCCCATCGTCCCCTCCTACGCGAGGGCGTTGACCCACGCGAACACAGGTGCCTCGGTCGATATGACTTGCGTGAACACACCTTCGATTTCCCGCGCTGAACACGGCGGATCAGAGGGACCGTGACCCCGGATCGATCTGCCCACGGTGACACGATCGATCTGACCCGCGCTGAACACAGTGACCCCGGATCGATCTGACCCGCGCTGAACACAGGTGACCTCGGATCGATCTGACCCGCGCTGAACACAGGTGACCCCGGATCGATTGGCCCGCGCGAACACAGGTGACCCCGGATCGTCGAACGCTGACATGGTCGATCTGGCGCGAACAATGATGGTCGTCTGACCCCGCTGAACACAGTGACCCCGGATCGATTGGTGAACCAGGTGACCCATCGATATGACCCGCGTGGAACACTGACCCAGATCGATCGACCCGCGCTGAACACGGTGACCCGGATGATCTGCCCCGTGACACAGGGACCCCGATCGATATCGCGCTGGAAGGTGCCCCGGATCGATCTGACCGCGCTGAACCAGTGACCCGGATCGTCTGGCTGAACACACCCGGATCATACCGCGCTGGCACAGGACCCCGATTCTGACCCGATGAACAGGTACCCCGATCGATCACCCGCGCTGAACACAGTGACCCCATCGATAAAGGTGTGATGAGTGTCTCATCATATCTGTTAGGTTCCAATATGGACGTAGAGTCCCCTCGACTTAACGGGTTCATTGGAAGTGCTGGTGACCCTGCCGGACGGACCCCTTCCAGTGACATTCATAAATGTTGATGTTCCCTTCATTGCTAGAAAACCCCGACCAAAGTGAGAGGTCCTCCATCATTCGTCCCCCCCCCCCGCCCCCTCGTCGGTGTTGAGCAAATATTTCCCTGACTGACTTGAGGTACCTTATTGACACAGATCATCCTTTTAGGCACTTGACCCCTGATCTATACAGGAGCTCGACACTGTTGCATGGGCCTCGACCAATGCCAATCGCGGGCCCGGCCTTGTTCCTGCTTTGGGAATGGGCCCGAAGGATCCGAC